CACACACACACACACCACTTTCATACTAGACAATGTGGTTGAAGTGTCTTGCCTAAGGACACAATGACAGTTTTTGCCTCTGATGCCCCCACTGTGGCACCTGGAACAGGTTTAGTTATTATAAAGGGATACCAAGTTCATCATTTTTCTGCTATAGGCCAGGTTCAGTGTTTCAATTTCAAATGGATTAAAATGGCTAAACAACTAAGGGTGACAGTAGTTCAGCAGGTAGAGTGTTTGTCCACTGAACCAAAGGCTGACAGTTCATACATACAACATAAAACATCATTGGTTGAGCAGTTGGCAGTGTGATACCAGCTCCAGCAGATGAATGCTGTCATTGTGTCCTTGGGCAAGATGCCTTCTTGTGTGTGGATGCATGTGTGTGTGTGTGTGTGTGTGTGTGTAAGGGTCTTCCTCCTCCACCAAACTTATTCATAAACCTAAGATAGAGATGCAAACTTGCAAATGTATGCCTGAAACATATGTCTGGCATGGTGTTCCCCAACAAAAATACAACATGCACTATGTTAGTAAAAGCTACAGGGACAATGTCGCATACTTTAAACTTCCTCCATGAGGCAGAATACTGTTTACTGTGTTTACTTCAAGCTCTCTCTGATTTATCCACAATAGCTCCTCGTAACCCCTCTTTCTTGTCAGTTTGCCCCTGGTGTGGATATGACAGTGACTGATATATTCACATGACTTGAAGCATTAAAGTTATTGTTTATTGTGTAACGTGTGGGTGGTAAATCCTTGTCTGCCAAATGCCTTTTTTCTGCCAAGATATCCAGGGAGTAATACAAGCGAATGCACAATGCCAGAAGAAAGCAGTATCTTCTGAAATTGCTGACCTTAAAACTCCTGCCCCGTGGACAGAAACTCCCACTAAACTGTAGTGAATGAAACTTGAAGTGCTCCTTAATTATCAGCCTCAAGCACTTGATTTTGAAGATATTATTCAAAAGAAATAAAAAAGAGGGTGGTTGGTGGATTTTTGTTTTGTGAGGGAAAAAAAGCTTGAGTGAGTGGCGTGGACCTGGACAGTGGTGCCTGTGGTGATTGACATAGCAATACTGTTCTATTCTGTTTGATGGGATTAAATTGTCCTGACCTCTTAGATATGGAAATAAGGGGCTGATCTAAAACTGTCAAATGTCAGTATTATTATACTGGGGGTCTGGGCTGAGGTGCACTAGAGTTACATACTAAACTTGGTGGAATGACAGTTATAATGTCATTTAAGGAGCAGTTAATGGTTTTTAAAATGACAGGCTGGAAATAACTGGCACCTGGTGGGTCTGTTCCTGTTCATGTCACCTCCAGGACGAGAGGGGCGTTGGACAAAAAAGAGGGGTGTGACTTTTAAAATGTATTCCCCTACAGATTACAGATTACATACCCCAAAATGTACTTTGAAACATAATCCATTAAATTACTTAAAGTGAGTAACGTAATCTGAATACTTTGGATTACTTGATTTGCTGTAGAGAAGCAAAGACCAGGAAATCGTAACATAAGATGTTTTGTCTGATAAAAGAAAATGAAAAGTCCAGACTTTACTGAACCAAATTAAAAATATTATTGATAGAAGAGGAGGAGACATATCCGCGCAGCATGATTTAGTCCTGTTAAATCCTGTTTTAGTCCTGGTTTAGTCCTGATTTTAGACCTGTTTTAGATCTGGTTTAGACCTGGTTTAGATCTAATTTATATCTAATTTAGATCTAGTTTAGATCTGGTTTAGATCTAGTTTAAACTTAGTTTTAGTCCTGGATTAGACCTGGTTTTAGACCTGGTTTTGATCTAGTTTAGATTTAGTTTAGACCTGGTTTAGTTTCTGGCAATGAGTGGAATTACTTATTATTATTATTTAAAAAAAGGGGGGATATAGCCCAAAATGTGAAAACAGGAAAATACCGCCATGTAATCCATTTATTTCAACAAAGTAACTGTAATCCAATTACCACTCACTGAAACAGTAACTGTAACTGAATACAGTTACTCATAATTTGTACTCTGATTACGTAACTCTGATACATGTAATCTGTTACTCCCCAACACTGCTTATGAGTTACTATTTACAGCACAGGTGAATTAAGTGCAAGTTAAGTGCTAATTCAGGAAGTAATTAAGTTGTTACTAAGCATGAATCATTATTAATTAAGTCTTTGTTCATGCTTTATTAAGGCTAAATAAAGTGTAGTTATTATAAAGTGCTACCATGTCCATCTGTTATTGAGGGAAAACTATTATGAAATAAAAGGTGCATTATGTAACTTTCTGGTGGACGGTCTCCATAGAGATAACATCTTGCCTTCGTGTACATCAACAGTACTTTACCTCACATCATCAGACCAAGTACGGATCAGATCTGCGAAGATGGAAACTGCAGTAAGCATGCATGTTTTTTCTGGGTATTTTAAGGAGTTGAAATTAGGTAATAAGATTTTTTATATATTGAAGAAATGCAGAATAGAAGAAGTTTCATGTCAGACTCAGCTCAGTTTTATAATTTACTGCATTGTCATCAATATGGAAAAAGATACTCATGATACCATATTGATTTGTATATTTCTGGTGTGCAAGGTGGAGAGTGGGGGATATGGTAAGAAGTTTTTTTTAATGGCACAGTATGTGAGTTGTGTCTGTTAAGCTGTTGGGTTTTGGGTCTGTCCTCTTGTATTTTGACTGCAGTATTTGAGTAGAATCGCACATAACTTTATCATATTTGTCTCATTAGTCATGTCTATTTATTTTCAAATGATTGTGGCAATGTAAATTTGAGGAATACTGCAGAGTAAAGTTGAATATTTAACAGAGAAATGTGGACGTTAGCAAACAGCAAGGCCTGAGCGTTGAGTTCTGCAACAGGTGTAATCTTTCCTTTGAGTTTTCCTGTTCTCCTCAAGGCACAAAAACATTCAATTACAGCCACTTTTGTATAGCCCTAAAATCACAAATGCTTACTGTCGGCCGTCGAAATGGAGCTCAACAGTGGTTTCGGAAGCAAATTTTCCATTCAATTTCCCCTTAGACTATTAAGAGTTCAAAGGCATTGGAGCTAACCAGCAATATTCTAACTAATATCCATAACGTGATTATTTTAAGTCCAAAAAGCACATTTAAAATGAAATGTTTTAATAACTTTGTGGTTTCTAAAGTTTCAGAAATACATTTTAAATAGACTAAAATAATAGGTCTTGTGTTCATCACTTAGGCTACTACAGGCAAGGCAAGTTTATTTGTGTGTATTTGGGCGGCAGTAGCTCGGTTGGTACAGCGTTTGTCCACTGGTCTGAAGGTTGGCGGTTCAAATCCCACTCTTGACACTGTCAGACCCACTGACCCGCAGGTTGGCTGGTGTGATTCCAGCTCCCACAGATGAATGCTGTTGTTGTGTCCTTGGGCAAGACACTTAACCCACCTTGCCCCTAGTGTCTGTGTACACTGTGTGTGTGTGAATGTGTGTGAATGTGTGTGAATGTGTGTGAATGGGTGAGTGGTTCCTTGTTGTAAAGTGCTTTGAGTGCCTTGAAGGTGGAAAAGTGCTATAGAAAAATGTGACCATTTGTACACAAATTACTTTACAGAATAAGACACACAGTAAAATCACAATACAACAAAATTATCACAAAACATAAATAATCATTGTAAAATTAGCATTATAAGAGAAGATTGCAGTATAAAAACCTTTCAGTCATATTCACAGCTAAACAGAACCAGTCACAGAAGAGTCTGTCTCACATCTTCAAGAAGACTGTTCCAGGTTTTAGCTGCATGAACCTGAAACTCTGACTCTCCATGTTTAGTCATGACTCTGGGCACCAGCAGGAGGTCGGTCCCTGAGGTCCTCAGAGTGTGAGATGTTCATATGACACTAACATGTCACAGATGTACTTTGGTGCTCGGCCATGGAGACACTTGTACAAGCAGAGCTGCTTTAAAGTTTATTCTCTGAGCCACAGGAGCCAGTGCAGAGACCTGAGCACAGAACTTATGTGCTTGTACTTCCTGATTAGCCCTGAGCAAGATTTCAAACTTTTAATCTTTTTTTTTATTTTTATTTTTTCTGAAAGTCTGTGGGAAAAATTAATGAGAAATTTACTTCTAACGGCGGCGGGTGGTCACTGTTGAGCTCCACTGTAAGAAAATCAAACAATGAAAAGCAAAGCAGATCGACCAGCATACGACATGATCTATGATAGATTCCCTGTTTGGGCCAAGACTCCTCTGACAATTCAACATTACAGTGGGACTGTCCAGGTGTCAATATATTAAGCCTATAAACAGTAGGCAACTTTTTATTTTTATTTTTTGCAGTTATAGTCTAAATATTCACAATATGAACAAAACAAACTGAGCATGTGGGTTCAGATTTCCTGTAGATCATCAAGTGTAGCCGATTCATTTCGCTCTCGTTTGATGCTTTCTTTTTTGATCCCCACATTTACCATTAAAGACTGATCCCACTGTGGGCTATCATCGCCCCGGCGCAATAAAACAGCTCATAAGCGCGTGGCAGCGGCAGGGAGTGGGGCCAGAGGGGGTAACTGGGCTGTGAAATAGACTCCACTCCGCTGATGGACACTTGAAAGCGCTCGGATGGTTAGTTGTCAGTCAAAACCGCCAGACCCGCCTCCGCTTCACCGCAATCCAAAAAAATAAAAAAATAAAAAATGAATCTAAATAGAGTGGAAAATGCGTTTTAGCGCGAAAGATGACCAAAGTGTTGAAGGGATATTCTTTCCCCCGTGGAGCGGTGTGCGCGCGCTTGCCGTGCCTCCTCTCGCTCGGAGGTGGGAGGGGTGGTAGTGACGCTCCTAACCAATGGGCGCAAGCTTTCCTCTGGATCGGAGCGCAGCGTCTCCCTTGTCACAACGGCACTTTTGCGGCAGACAAGTAGGACGCTCGCTTATCTGTCGGGAGGAAGACACACACGGGGAATTTACCGAGGTGTTTGGGCGCCCGAGACTCGCTTCCTTTCACCTTTTACCGTTGCGAAGATGAACGTTGGCTGCGTCATCCTGGCTTGCACCTTACTTGCGGGCTCATCCTCGGTAAGATTTGAGAGTTTCTTTCTGTCTTGCTGAGAAGAGGGTACAGTGGGAACTAGTGCTGCACTGCTGTATATAGCGCACAGTTTTAGTTCGTGCGACGCGCCGAATGAACCCAAAGTGCTCCCGTAGTAATAATAATAATACTAAAAAAAAGCGCGGAGCCTACTCTGTCTGCAGTGCCGCGCGAAGGGAGCACGGCGCGTGGATTTTGGAGCGGTTTGATGGCCGGTCATCGCTACAGCAACTCTAGTTTCAAAGTAGCATCGTTTCATTTCAAGGCAGCGGTGCGTTGATGCGGGGCACGCTGTCTTTTTTTTTTTTTCTGCTTCAAATCAACTTATACCCGCTGTCATTTCCTCTCTTTGGTGGGGTGGTTACGTCTCCGATTGTAATGAAGTTTGAGCACAAATCCCGTTTAATGAGCGTGTCTCCAGAAGCCAATTACGAAGAGCTTATCATACTTTATTTTAATACGGGCAATAATGTATTCTAAGCCGAGACTTTGTGAAAGGGAACGATGGGAAAGACTTGACAATGTGCATAGCAGTTCTATTTGTGGGCGAGACAGTGAGGGCATAATAATGACAGAGGTTTGAGTTGGAGGATACAATGGACACACACAAAAAAAAAAAAAAAAAAAAAAATAGTGGCCCGCAGTAGGCTGTAATTTTTTGGTTTCCTTCTCGGTTCCTTTTCAAACGCACATCGGCTTTGCTTGTGAATCTCACACGTTTCTTGCTCCAGGAGGACAATAGTTATTTAGCCTATTCGTTTGTGGCATTCAAGTGATGTAGAATGTTATGTGTAATGGCAGCGAGCAGGTGCCTTTCCACAGCTCACCTTTTCATATCATTTTACATACATTTTCTCACTACACTGTGGAATGTATGGGCAATGTATATCAATCATTTGTTACATGTCAAGAGATGTAAGGTAAAGTTTGGAGTTTTTACATGATGGTGCTTTCAATTCATGTCATAGGCTACAATGTAAAAAAATGAATACAATTGTTAAAGTGCGATGTCCTAAACCTACATCCTGGCATGTACAGTGCATCTATAGAGCTCCTTGCAGCCTTGAGCCACACATCATGCAACCCTGTATTAATCATGAAGCTGTATTGCAGTGGATGCAGCTCTGTTTCTGCACAGCACATAATACTGCATTCATGTTTTTCCCGGAAACTTGCAAGAATGGACACAATAAATGCCTTTCAAATCATAAAAGGAGACTTGTGTGTCCATGCAGCGACAGTGACCAATTTGATAAATTAGCTTTGACATATTCACAATAAGCCCTAATGAATCATTTAATGGTCAGAAAAAAACAGTCTAAAAAGATTTATTGTCTTTATTTATTGACTTCATATTTTAATATTACTTATTGTAAGCTGCATAATTAGATCATGCCATTTTTACTACTCAGATGTAACAGAACAAAAGCAGGACCTACAGTTTCCAGTGGTGAAGTTGTGTGTGAGAGAAATGCACTGTCCACCTTGTCGACCTGTGCTCCTTCTCTCCGGCTTTATTTTCCCACACCTAACAGGCTGTGTGCACTTGTCCCCAGGGGAGTAAGGCAGGCCAGCCCCTCAAAGCACCATGTCGACCAGGATTCTCCCAGAACTTCTACACCGTCATCGTCCCTCGAGACGTGCTGCATGGACAGCGCATTCTCAAAGGTGAGCCCTCTGCTACTAGGCTACTATACTGCTACTACTATAACACTACTACTACTACTACTACTACTACTACTGCTGCTGCTACTTGTGTATTGTTTTATCTTGTGTGTGAAGAATGCTGGAAGACTCATTTTCATGTCAAGCTGCTAAGCTCCAGTTAGATGCATTACATGTCGATTTGGCATATAATACTACAGAGTGTGGAATCTGGAAAGTCAAAAACGTAGCTTCCCAGGCAGATGTGCCATTGATAGAGTAAACAGTAAACAAGTAACAGTAAAAGTGACAGGTTTGACATTTTTTTGACTTATGAAAACATAATCCAGAGCTCTATAGTTGACTGATGGTGATGTTATAGCTCTTTACACTGTTACTCACAATGGCTTCAAAATATATTATTATATTAGAATATGTTTATACTGTAATTAAAATGTGTTATTGTTATGATCTAGACAACTTCAGGACATGAATGAACACATGGATGGGGGACAGTTTGACAGTGGAGAGCTTGGAACTGAATACATTTGAATGATCACTGTGGTAGTGATTTAATTTTCTTGCTGTTTTGATGATCCATATAATTGTCTTTAATTGCTCCATCACTTTTGAGTACAGGCAGTTCTAGAAACATGTGCTGTACATGCTGGAGCATACTTCTCAATAGCTGCTAGTGCTGCATAATCTGAATAGAGAACTTTTTAAGAGATAATAATGAAATATGGTTCTGACAATTTGATTACTGAAGAGTTTATTTCTAAGTTGTTTATATGTGTATGATTAATGCATTGAAATTATTTGGTGTGGAAACAGCAATATTAGTAACTTTCACATCTACAATGACTGCAGTGTTTTATACTTTTATTTAATTGGATCCATGTTAGCGACAGCTGCTTTTCTTCCTGGGGTTGTAGTGTACTGGAAAAGTTCCACTTTACTGAAGTGAAGATTTCTATCAAGGGACAAGTGCTCCTAATTATAAACCTAATGATTCATGCATCGGACTGCTGTATAACAGTTTGGTCATGGTTTGGATCAGTCCCTATAAAAAAATAAACAAAATAAGAACATATAAAATCCTCGTTTGTCTGCAAATAATAATAGTTCATTTCCAGGTGCTTGTAAACAAGCAAATAGTTGTGGAGGTTATTGGGCTGCTTACTGCACTGACAAGGACAGTGGTCTGGCGTCAGTGAGGAGGGGGTGTCTTCAGGGAATTGGGAGCTCAAGGTTTGAGTTGGTGTAGAAGTGGACTGAGTTATCCTTACATTGCAAAACAATCACGACACAATGTGAATTTTGAAAGGGCAGCATATGGGGGCAGGGACTTTGGCACTGTACTGTTGTCCCCAGAGTGAACCGGAGTTCAAACAATGTGAGCTTGACAAGTGAAAAATGTGTCCGCTGTGCGGTGTAAAAAGTCTAATATTGATATGACACACTTGACAAGATTGCAGCACTCACAAAATGTTAGAATGTGTGGTTGATAAAGCTTCTGTGCAGAGTGATGCAGATGTGCCCTGCTTTAGTGAGACTGTTCTCATGTCACACACAACCGCAGCTTTGATCTCACATTACCGTACATTCAAATCCCTCTCCTGTGTTTCATTTTACCTTTTGTGTTCACTCTAAACAACAGAAATCAATGTGTGTTGTGCAGCTTAACTCATGTCATGATTAATGTACAGCTCCTATCTGTACTGAAGTTGCATTTTCCATGCACAAAGCTTTTAATACTTCCTGCCACAATATGTTTAACCTCAAACTGTCAACTGTCCCGACAAAATGAATGGGCCAGGCTAGGACGAGGGAGGGTCTGCTGGGGTGCTGCCAGGCCGCTGCTGGAGGCGGGGTTGTTGTGTCCCCTGAGAGACGGACAGTGAGCGATGGGGGAAGAGCTGGAGGACTGTAGCCCTGCAGGTGCATGTGTGAACCACAGTCACTTTCCAGTCATTGAACAATGTGTGCTCTGCAGCCCTGGTCAAGCCAGAGGTGGCCGGCACTGTCAGCGGCCAAGCTGTATTGTGTGGATGTTGTGTATGGAAAGTAGAAGCAACTACACAGACTACTATTAAAGCTGAGGTAAAAAAAGAGTGAACCTAAAATGATCACTGATGCAGTTTTTTAGCCTGATAGATCTGGTCCAAAACCATCTGCATGTGCTACTCCAGTGCCAAAATAAATGGAGATAAGCATTGTTCTAAGCCACTCTAAATGAAAACAGGAACAAAAGAAAACTGAATGGAAGCAGTACATTTAGCTATTCTTTACAAGCAGGTTAGTAAATCAGTGCAGTGGACTGATGTTGTTTCCTTGAGCAAAACGCTTCCATATGTGTTTTAAAGGTGCTCTGTGTGACTTTTATGGTGGAGGGTTTGCTACTTGCAAGATATATATGTCTTAACTGTCATACTGTAATGCATTCTAGGCAGAACAATAAGACGGTCATGAGTCGGGCAGTGGAGGCCTGTAGCTCTGCTGGAGTAACACAGTAACTCCTAGTCATTTTATTAAAACAACCTTTGCATATTATCTGGTTTATGGAAGGAAGGAATTGATATTGTTGAGTCTTTTATTACACTGTATGTTACAAAAGTTCAACATTTCACAGATACACCTATCTAAACAAAACGAAAGCCAAACTGCTGCAAAAATGAGCAAGGCGAGTAAAAAACATCAGTTTGAATCCTGAACTGGTGAGAAAAATCCATTGAGCTTTTGGTGCTCCTATCTCACCATTGTGCAGCTGGCCTTTATTTATCTTGGGCTCCCTTGCTGCTCGTTAGAAGCTGCTCCGCTGCCCTACCTGAAAAAGAATGATGCCCATTTTCTAGAAGCACAAATAATTGATTCACAGTATAGGGCCTCAAGGTTGGAAGTCCATGCTCAAAATACACCAGTTCCATATATGCAGAAACACTAGTTTGTTTGCACACTTCTTAGGCTGCGTTCAGACTTCATCTCATCTTTTAATGACAGTCGGAACAACACAGATCCGATTTTTTCAAATGTGACCCAGGACACTTGGATATGTGATCCTCAAACCGATACATATCTGATCTTTTGACATGTGACTTCAGTGTGAACGGCCAAAGCGCATTCATTCACCTACACGTTATCAACAAGACACAAACGTCACTATTCTGCGCTGAAGTCAGCGAAAATTGTTAATGAACTCCATGTCACTGAAGTGAAGCACATCACCACTCACCACTCTTGGCTCTGTCTCCACATCCACACGTTCCTTTCAACGGACGTCGCTGCCGCTGTCCCACAAAACACCACGGCCAAAAACCTCGTCCTTCTCCTTCTCAATCTCCTCCTTAAAACAAGTAAGTTGTTCATGTTGTGGCTCCGGTACGAGAGGAACTTTAAATCTCCAGGTGCTCAATGCTGCGTCCATGTTTGGACAACTTCCGTAAACACTGAGCACGCTCGCTGAGGTTGACGTCGTTGTGTCTCCAGTGCACATGTGGGACACTTTCAGGTCGTTTACTGTTCACACTGGAGTCACATACAAGTCACATTTAATTGGAAATGTGAACGACCTCGCAAAAACATTGGATTTCACAAAAAAATCGGAATTGAGCGTTGAGCCCTGCAGTCTGAACGTAGCCTTAGAGTCAAGTTATGTCTTAAAATATCTTTTTTGAACTGTTCTGTATTTCCCTTCCAGAATTTTATATCTATATGCTAGTTAAATAAGCTTATGATCTTTGTGCTACCTTTGTCTTTTTGTTTGACATGTTTTCAAATCTCACAGCTGAGCCACATTGTATTGAACAAATCATCCTTTGGTGATGGGGAGATCTACTAGACCTAGGTCAGGATCGCTCAGGAGTTCTGCTGCAGCGGTTGCATTTCCTATAACCTCTGTGCGGATCCCCACTGCGGCCAGATAAGCCATGAAAAGAAAAAATATTCCAATGATTCTACAGAGCTGTGTAAACCACCTCTTGGATCCCAACATTGCAAGAGACATCCAGGAGCACATACAAGAGTGAGCAAGAGGGGCATTGGAATTCCGCTCAGGCCCCCACGTCTCTTTAAGGTACTGTCACGCCGTGTTTGAAGAGACGGCACTGATGACTTTGCCCCAGTGACTCAATAAGCACGGTGCAGGGCCACATCAGCAAATGTTAAGGTATTTTTTATATGTGGAGATTTTTGGGAGTTATTCAAAGTAGGATGGTGATACATTTTTAAAAGAGCTGAAACGTATTATTACATATTTGATTTGATACAATCATTGATGTTCTCTTCTGGTGTTGTCACAGCAAATCATCTACCTCCAATTCTGCAGTAAATTCTATATTGATCTGACAGAGGAGAGCAGATGCCCTTCTTAACACAGATCCTTTGTTTGGAATTTGTGACCCCTTTAGTTTGTATCTATAAATTATGATGAGGCTATAGTAAGTAAAGTACAGTAATGTCATTTTTAGATCATAGTAACAGTATCTCTATTTTTATTAAGGAAATGGCCATGTTGTAGAGATCTGTTTTGTCAGGATGCCTTCAATCTGCTAGTCTGGTCACTTTCCCACATCACAACTCAAACAGAGCCATGAAATCAGCTTAATCTGTTTCAGCCACACATGGGACACGGACAAATTCAATGTTGAATGTTTGTTGTTCAAAACAAACAAGATAGCACCGGTAGCTACTTAAAATAGCCAGATAAACAATATGGTTGTTTAATTACAGTGTAACAGAAACTGTGAATTATTACTCAAACTGCCCATATTGCATTATTTTCTGATCTCTGTTATAATATTTATAATAGTTTCCTCATCAAAAACATACCTGGAGTTGTGCTTTGTGCTTTGTTGCATTCACACATGTTTAATGCACAAATCCTGCATATTAAGGTGAGTTCTTCTCTCAAACTAAAGACACTTTGTTCCACCTTGTGATGTCATGTGGTAATCAGTGTTGGGGAGTAACAGATTACATGTACCAGAGTTACGTAATCAGAGTACAAATTATGAGTAACTGTATTC